AATAAATAAATAAATAAATAAATAAATAAATAAATAAATGAAAAAGAAAAAAAAAGTCCAAAAAAGAAAGAACTGCTGGTGTGGTGGCGCACACCTTCAATCCCAGCACTTGGGAGGCAGATCTCTGTGAGATCAAGGCCAGCCTGGTCTACATAGGGAGTTCCAGGCCAGCTGGGGCTACAGGGAGACTGTGTCAAAAACAAACAAACAACCCCCCCAAAAACCAAGGGCTATCGAGATGGTTCAGTGGGTAAAGGTGTTTGCTGCCAAGCCAGACAGACCTGAGTTTGATCCCTGGTACCCACATGGTAAAGGGAGAGAACTAATTCCTTCACCTTGTCCTCTGACCTCCACACATGCTTCCTCACAAAAGCACACAATAAATAAATACAAATGTAATTTGATAACAAACCAAGCAGCCACCACCTTCTGCTGGATGACGCCGGGTACCAGCTTCCCTCTCTGGGACTCATTGTCCCAGGTCTATGCAATGGAAACCACAGGGGTGCTCCCCTCCTAAGAGTTCTTTGCAGAGTTATTCTGCATGCAGCGCTGGGCAGAGGACTAAGGTTTCTGCTGTCTTGAGAACCCATCTAGCAGCACTTACATGAGCGAGTCCAGGCCCCTCGCAGCTTCTAGATACCCCTCCAGGTATTGGGGGGCTGGATGCTAGCCCCCCTTTTCTCTCCCTGAGGCTCCAGGACAATAGAAAAGATGTTTATCCCCTGGCGGTGCACATGTTGTTCGTTGTAATGACAGTAATCAGCTCTCCTAATGCTGCATTCTCTTTGCGCCAGTCAATTCCCCTAATTACCGCCTGGGAAGCCGGATTATTTAAATTTAAATGGTGATTTATTGCAGGGCTTAATCAATGCTATGCTATTTTCTCCCCCACCCCACTAGGGCAGGAAGGGAGTTTGGAACCCCCTAACACCATTCTTAAAGACACCCTCTTCTTCAGCTGGGGGCGCACTGGGGGGCAGCCTGGGGAACCCCATGCCTTTCAACTATGACCTCAGATAATACCTTGTGACATAAAAATAAAGCAAGGTGACATAAATTAGAATATAACAGTCCAACACGTCTCTATATCAATAATAAAATCTAAGGGAAAACTGGAAAATTCAAGTGGAAAATTCAATATTCATCCATATGTTGGTATCTAACATAGTTTCTCTCTCTCTCTTTCTCTCTGTCTCTCTCTCTCCATATATATCTGTGTTCTAAAGGCATTCTCTCCGTTTCAGTGTGCCTTGTCTCACTTTTTGCAGCTCCTGCTTTTTCTTCTGCATTTACCTCTAGTATTTTCTTATGCATTTACCAATAGTCCTGAAAATTTCGGTTTTTTTTTTTTTTTTCTTTTTGACAGGGTTCCATATAGTCCAGGCTGGCCTTGAGCTCACTATGTAGCTGAGGATGACCTTGAATTCCTGGTCCTCCTTCCTCTGCTTCCTGAATGTAGGTCTTATAGGTCTGCATAGCCTGGCCAGCTTTTTGTTTATTTGTTTTTGTTTATCTGTAGCCCAGGCTGGTCTCCATCTCTTGGAGATCCTCCTGCCTCAGCTGAATGCTGAGCTAACAGGCCTTTGACACCACCCCCTGCAGAGCAGGGACTTGTCTAATTTGTTTCCTGCTGGATCCTGAGCACTCAGCACTCATGCAGTTGACTCTAAATAAACAGCAAGGTGACTCAGACCACTGTCTGCACATACTGAAGACTTACTGTGAGTCAGGCGACTCTAGAGGCTTAGCAGATATTCCCTGGTCAGCTGGCTGGGGGCAGCTTTGATGGACAATCCCATTTCTCAGTTCTGCACAGAGAGAGGAGACTATCTACCCAGGGCTGCAGAGCTGTGGGGCATAGACGGTGCCACCCAGGCAAGCCTCCCAGATGCCCCAGTATCGCCTTTTCTAGGCTATGCTATTTCTTTCCTCACACCAAAAGAAGGAATTAGGACTCTAGAGTACTCATGTACAGTCCCACAGGTATGGCTCTAACCTACCAGTTAATAGGAGGCCTTGAAGTAGGAAGCACCCTCTACATCTGGGGGTTCCTTTTGTGGCAGTAATGGTGCATCTCCCTAATAAATACAAAAGCCTTAGGCAGGCATGGCGGCAGACACCTGAAATCCTAGCACTTGGGAGGTGGAGGAGGAAGATCAGAAGTTTCAGGTCAGCCTCAGCTACATATCGAGTTCGAAGACAGACCAAGCTACATGGAGACCCTGTCTCAAAAACAACTTGGGTATGGTGGGGTGTCATGCCTTAGTCCCAGCACTGGGGAGGCAGAGGTAGGTAGAGGTGGCTCTCTGTGAGTTTGAGGCCAGCCTGGTCTACATAGTGAGTTCCAGGTATGCCAGGGCTACAGAGTGAGACCCTGTCTCAAAAAAACGACAAACAACAACAATAGTAATAACAGCTTTTCTAGTGATCTGACTTACTAAATCTTCCCAACTTCTTGTTCTCATTTCACAGATAATTAACTGTGTCCTGGAGAGCTGACATCACCACTTACAGACCCACAAAAGGTCTGGCAAACTCCCCAGGAGCTGGGCCAGGGCTATCCTGGCTTCTCCATTCTGTCCCCAAGGCTGGGGGATGGGATGGCAGGAGGCGACCCTGACTGTCGGCGCATGTGCACTCACCAAGGCCAGCTGGCGGCCCTACGGCTCTCAGCCCCCAGGGAGGCGCCCCTAGCGCTGCGAAGCGGCGCAGGCGGAGGTAGGTGACACTGAGGCGCACGATGGACGCCTTGTCCAGCTGGCTGGATATGGCACCGGGCAGCGGGAGCAGCTTGGCCAACTCGAAGAACTCTAGGTTTTCCTTCCCACGCCGCCAGCGAGCCGCATTACGGGACTTCTCTTTGCGCTGGGCCTGCAAGCTGAGCCGGCAGCGCGGAGGAGGTGTCAGGAGGGGGCCTGGCAGAAGCCGAGCCTCCTGTGATCCAGGAACCCTCAGGTAGTTGGAATCTATTCAGCTCTTCAGAGGAGGTGGGACAGACTTGAATGTGAATCCCACACTCAGTATCAGGGGTCAAACCCAGGGCTTCAAACATGCTAGGTCTCACTAAGTATCCCTGGCTGGCCTGGAACTCACCATCTACACCCAGGCTGGCCTCAAACACATGTACATCTGCCTGCCTTTGCTTCCTGAGTGCTGGCATTAAAGGCCTGTGCCACCACACCTGGCCCCTATTTTTGCTTTTAGAGATAGGGTCTCACAAAGTTGTCCAGGGTGGCCTTGAACTGGCGAGCCTCCTGTTTGAGTCTGCCAAGTGACAAAGTTTCACCACCAGTCCCTGGCTTGCAGACAGAATCTTGGGTTGTAAGCTCTTCCTCTTTGGCCTGAGAATTTGGAGTGGGGGGTGAATTCGGAGCCTGAGGACACTAGAAACAGAACTGGAAAACAAGTCAGGGTGACAAAGTCCAGCTGTCGGGTCGGGGCACTAACCCAAGTATGAATTCTTACTGGGGACAGGAAAAGGCAGGCTTCCCCCGAGTTAGGACCATGGTCAGGGGCATGGGTTGGCTCACCAGGGTCCAGGCGGGGCCTTGACCATCAGACCAGGCAAAAAGTCCCAGGGGACGCTGGCACCACGGCCTCCCCCACACTTGACTTCGCCTCGGCCTCCACTCCTGGGATAGGGGGTCGCCATCTCTGCAGGGACTCGGGAATTCAGGCTGGCTCGACCACCCGCGTCTCCTGCAGTGCGAAGGGATAGCAGGTGTGTGTGGGTGTTGGGGGGGAGAGCTCAGTTCCCTGGGGTGGGGGATATCTAAGACCGTCTAAGTGAAAAGTGAGGTGCATGTAGGTCCCCAAGGATGCAGCCAGGAGCTGGTTTGGATTCTTGCCTCAGTTTCCCCTTCCTGGGAGGCCACTGTTCTATCCACCCTGGCGAGCCCCAGGGCTGGCACTCCGGGTGAGGACGTGCCCCGCCGCCGCCTCCCCCGCGCCGCCTGCCTCACGCCCGCGCCGGGCCGGCTCCCGCATACCAATGGGCGCACGCGGCGCGCATACGGATCCGACCGGCCCGCGCGCTGCGTGCCAAGCATGCCCAAACTGTGCTCGGGGCCGGCGCCTCGCCGGGGCCCAGACGCCCCCCGGGCTCCAGCTCCCCCAAACCCCCATCCCCGGAGATCCATGCCCCAAACCCTTCTCCAGCATTCCACTCTTTAAATCTACAGCTGCACCCACTTCCTAGCCTGGACTAAGGAGGCAGGGAGGACAGAGGGACAGGGACCCCACCCTAAGTCCCGCCCAGGGACCACCTAAACCCCTCTCGGGGGTGGCGCCACCTGGTCCAGCTGCCAAATTTCTGCAAAACACAACTTCCTGAAAGCGACCCCGGTCACGACATTAACTGGACCCCAGCGACCCCAGGATGGACGCGACACTCGGGATCCAGGTGTCCTGGCATCCCAAATACCCGAAAAAACAGGGACCTGTGCCACTGGGTCTTCGCTCTTCCACGATGAGACATCCAGGCCACCCCTGTCCCCAGCACCCCGGTGGCCCCCAAGCCACTGACGTCTAGTCCCCTGATTCTGTGTCTCCAGGTCACCAATGACCGTGTACTCCTCTCCAGATTCGGGGGGTACAGGCGTCCGGATGCGGTGGCCTCCAGGTCACCAGAGTCCGGGCCCCGCATTTCTGCAGGACTCAGGGGTCTCCTATCCCCTCCCGCCAAGCCTCTAGGCGTCCCCCACCCGCAGGGCTCGCGGCGGGGTTACCTGGCCTCGGGGCGGGCTCGGGGCGCGGCGTGGGGCCGGCCGGACGGCGCGGAGAGGCCGCTCCATAGACCCCGGGGCGCGCGGGCTGAGGTGCCCGGCTGTCGGCGCCCACCGCCGCGGCCTCGCAGACTTAGAGAGCGGCGGACAGCGGCGGCGAGGGGGCGGGGCCTGTGGAAGACACGCCCACCCTGCCCCGCCCAGCGCCTCTGCCCAGCTCTGAGCTTCCCACCCAGTGTCCTCTGCCCCCGGGTGTTCCAGTTCCCTCACCCCAGGGTCACATCAAGCCGGTCGAATGACTGTCCACTCCGGACGATCTCTATCCTCGGAGGATGGAGCACCCTAATCGCCGCTGTAGATACGGAGAGCAACCTGCACAGGGTCCTCGTAGGTGTGGACTCTCGGACATCAGTGTCCCCTCTAGAGACGTAAATCCAGGCATTTGGCACCCTCTCTTCCCCAGGAGAGAGCTCTGGGGTGCCAGCCTCCGTTAAGGTTAGGACGGGGCACACCTACCCCTTCCCCCACCTAGGTCTTAGGTGTTAGGGGGACTCCACAGTCCAGGACCCCGGAATCTTGTCTCCATGACTCCCTATAGGGACTGGAAACCTTACCTCTGAGCACCCTACTTCATTATAAATGAAAACAGAGTCAGCCGGGTGTGATGGCACTCATTTTTGTAATCCTAGTGTTTGAAAGGCTGAGGCAGGAGGATTCCCCAAGGTTGGAAGTCAGCCTGGGCTACATAATGAGGTCCAATTCATTCTGGGATACAGAGTGAGACTCTGTCAAAAAAATCAAATTTGGGGCGGGAGAGATGGCTCAGCTGTTAAGAGCACTGACTGCTCTTCCAAAGGACCTAGGTTCAATTCCCAGCACCCACATGGCAGCTAGCAACCACCTGTAACTCCAGTTCTAGGAGAGCCAACACCCTCTTCTGACCTCCTTGGGCATTGCATGACAAAAGGGGCACTTACCCACATTCATACACTTAAAAAAAAAAAAAATCAAGACAGGCCAGGTGTGGTAGCCACCTTTAATCCAAGCACTCAGGAGGCAGAGGCAGGTAGATCTGTGAGTTTGAGGCCAACCTAGTCTACATAGCAAGTTTCAGGCCATCTGGGCTATAGGGAGACACTGTCTCAAAAAACCCCCAAACCAAACCAAACAAAAACGGGCTGGGCTGGGAGAATGGCTCAGTGGGTTAGTGCTTGCCATGGAGGACTGAGGACTGAATTCAAATCCCCAGAGCCCCCTGCTGCAGTACCCGGTGTCTGTAATCACAGCACCCCCACAGTGGAGGACAGGAGCACCCGGGAAGCCAGGTAGCCTGGCTCACACAACAAGAAACAAGGTAGGTGGGAGGGGAGGACCAACATCAACCTCTGCATGTACTAGAGCCATGGCACATGTGCCCCCACCACCAAAGATTAAAATTAAAAAGGCTGGTAAGATAGCTCAGGGGGTAAAGTGCTTGCCCTCAAGCCAGATAAGAGCACTGGCTGCTCTTACAGAGGATCTGGGTTCAGTTCCCAGCACCCACATGTTGCCTAATAACCATCTATAATTCCACTTCCAGGGGATTGGTGCCCTCTTCTGGCATCTGTGGGCACTGCAGGACATGGGTGCACTTACATAACAAGCAGGCCAAACACTCATGCACATAAAACAAATAAAAATTTATAAAATTGCATAGAAACAGGCTTTCCAAGCAACTAGGCCCACAGAATGGGCCAAGGAGAATACACCCAGCCCCTGCCTCCTAAATTCAGAGGTAGCCTGACTACAGTGAATCAAATCTTAACTGCCACACATTTGTTTTATATTTTTGTTGTTGTTATTTCTTTGTTTAGTCAGTCTCATGTAGTCCAGGCTGGCCTTGAATTGATATGTGATCAAGGCTGACCTCTTGAACTCCTGGTCCTCCTGAATCTACCTCCCAAGTACTGGGATCAAAAGCATGTGCTATCATTTGCAGCTTTAAAAAGTATTATTTATGCTGGGCGTGGTGGTGCATGCCTTTAATCCCAGCACTTGGGAGGCAGAGGCAGGCAGATCTTTGTGAGTTCGAGACCAGCCTGGTCTACATAGTGAATTCCAGGCCAGCTGGGGCTACAAGGAGACCCTGTCTCAAAAAAGACAAAAAAAAATTATTTATTTATTTACTTACTGTTTTTGAGACAGTGTTTTCCTGTAGTCCCAGCTGGCATGAAATTGCTATGTAGACCAGACTGGTCTCACAGAGATTTGCCTGCCTCTGCCTCCTGAGTGCTAGGGTTAAAGGCCTGTGGTACCATATCCAGCTTTTAAACCATGTGTATATGTGTGAATGTATTGGCATGTTAGTGCAGTGCCTTGACAAAGACCAGAGACGTTGGATCCCCTGGAGCTGGAGTAACTTGTGGTTGTGAGCCACCTGATGTGGGTGTTGGGAACCAAATGGGTTCTCTTCAAAAGCAGTATGCTTTTTTTTTGGTCTTTTTGAGACAGGGTCTCCTTGTAGCCCCAGCTGGCCTGGAATTCACTATGTAGACTAGGTTGGCCTTGAACTCAGAGATCTTCCTGCCTCTGCCTCCCGAGTGCTGGGATTAAAGGCGTGTGCCACCATGCCTAGCAGTAGTATGTATTCTTTTTTTTTTAATATTTTATTATTTTATTTTATGTGTATGCGTGTATTGCCTACATGTAGGTAAATGCACCCATGTCGTGCAATGCCTGAGGATGACAGAAGAGGCTGTCAGATTCCCTGGAACTGGACTTACGGACAGTTGTTAGCTGCCATGTGGGTGTTGGGATTTGAACCTGGGTCTTCTCCAAGAACAGCTAGTGTTCTTAACTGCTGAGCCATCTCTCCAACCCCCATTAATATGCATTCTTTTTTTTTTAATTTTTAAAAATGATTTATTTAATAACAACATACTTAGAAGAAGCATATCATTACAACACAATTGACATATTCAATAACGGTTTCCTGAGGTAGGATGCATCTCTTTCAAAATTGGCTGTAAATTTTTAGGTTTACAGTT